TGGTAACTGTAGGCTGCCTACGTACCCTTACTGAGGGATCAAGCCACACGTAGTTCTCTCCTCTGTTCTTGACCTGCAACTGGTTCGTTATTTTGTAACTGGTTTACTTAACCGTAAAACCTACTCTAGGGCTGACATTTCTGGAGCATCCGGGACTCCGTTTTACGATCCGTAAAATACTATATGATACTGGAAATACCTAGATTAACATACTTGGAATTAACTACGATCCAATGGTTCAAACGTGTTGAACCCGGAAATTGCATACTAGGCGAGATCCGTTCGGGGTTCAAACGATATCCGAATTAAGTTCAGCGAAATCCTACACGCTCGTGAGGACTAGGAGATCATTCTAGGACTGACTATGGTCCCCACACTGTTGCCCACGAGCCGCCACACGCGCTGGCAGCGCGTGGTGCCTAAAGCGATAACGCCTCGCCGGAAAAACTCAACAACTCGGCTCAAGACTCATATCCTAGGTAAAACACCTTATTTGGAACAACTTTTGTTCTTGGACCTACCCCAAAAAGTGGCCGGAAGTGGCTGAAACCGTGATCTCAAAACCGGTCGAACCCTAGGTTCGAAATTAACCATCCCACGCTAGAAATTCCTCAAATCCTACTCAACCATCAGCTAGATCATGAAAAATAGCTAGAAATTCATACCTCACACGACCGGATTGGTGGCCGGAGGAGGGAGAAATCGCTGGCCAAAATTCTGTCAAAAACCGGTCAGAAACCATGGTTTTTCCGACGGTTCGAGGCAGCAGGCGGTCGGAAGAGGACCGGGCTAGGTCGGCGGAGTGACGCCGGTGGTTCTGGGTCCAGTCCGATGGGTCGGGGGGGCCCGTGGCGGGGGCTGGGGGGAAAGGGGCGAGCCGAGGACCGATCCGGCTGAAACAGGGGGGGAATCGCGACGGAGAGAGAGAAGCTGAGGGTTTTTTAAAAAAATCCTGATTTTCCAAAATTACCATTTTTCCCTTGAGCGTATTTTGACCGTATTTTCTTCGTTAAAATTCCGATTCGAGCCTAATACGTGTCTACGGACTCGTTTCGTCGCGCTCTACGCAACGGTATAAGTGAAACGGTCAAATTCTTTCTCGGGCAAAAGGTCAACATTTTCCTCAATAAAATATTCTAAGGGCATTTTAGTCTTTTCCTCCAATAAATTAATAATTAAATTAATTTTAGGTTTGGGTTGTTACACTATGTCTTATGCGATTAGTGAGATTGATAATGTACAATTTATGTAATGCATGAATGAACTTCAATTCTACCTAACCCATTAATCTTAGGTGCTGGCTCCGGAGAGTGCTTAGTAAGCACTTTCCAATTACATTTATATATACAAGACTACCTATTGTACTTACACCTCATGCTTATTGTGATTTTTGAGGACTCTAAAAAGCAACATGTCAAACTTAGGAGAAACTTTAGCAAGCAATAAAAAGCTTTTCTAAAAGCTTATGTATAAATATTAAATAAGATTGAAGTGAATTGGCATAGTTAAAACCATATAATAGATTTGATAGGTTATAGCAAAAGCTTTCACGTGGCTTGCCATGCAACTTATATATATATATATATATATATATATATAGTATTAAAACTATTAATTTTAAGGGTTAACTACAGTAAACCCCCCAACCTATAGGGTCATTTACGAGTCCATACCCGATTTTGGGGACATTTATGAGTACATACTCAATGTCGCGAAAACTTACAGATTGCCCCCTCCGTTAGCGAATCCGTTAGGAAATCCGTTATCTGCCTATGTGACATTTATAGGGCCCATTTTTAATTGACATGGAGTTCCACGTGGACAACAAAATAATAAAAAATTTATTCTTTGAATTATTTTAAGAAATTAAACATATTAAATTAAAATTAAAATTAAAATTAAAAAAAAAAACCATCCCAAGTTCTCTCTCTCTCTCTCTCCCCCCTCTCCTAGGCCCCAGCCACACAAACCACCACCCAAACGCTTTCATCCTCCTCGGAGGTTATCAACGCATTCACCCTATCGAGATTCACTTTCTCTCTCGATTTCTTCCCCCTTCCTCCCAATTTCTTCCCCCATCCAAGATTTCTTCAACCCCATATCTCTCCCGATCTCTCCTCCCCTCCTAGCCCCCAGCCACCCAAACCACCACCCAAGCTTACTCAGGCCACACATCCCAGCCTTAACACCTCTCATGTTCCAGCCCAACGCATCACCTTCCCCATGCCACAGATCTGATCGTTTTCCCCAAACCATAGCTGAGTTCAACTTCAAATTTCACATCCCATCGCAACCCACAGAAATTAAGACAACATCATTAAAGTCAGCGAAAATCAAAAAATCCAAGAAACCCACCTCTCCCTCGCATCCACCATCTTCCCCACAGAAAGAAGCGAGATTTGAACTCTCACAAATAGCACAGTTACGTTATTTTTCAGAAAAAATAAAACCCAATCTCAAAGGGTGTTTTGAAATTAGTCTTAAACAGCAAGCGAAGCAAATTTGAAGAATCCATAGATATAGTTTGCTTAAAGACGATAGAGATTATAAAGGATGAAACATTAGAAACAAAACCACATCTAAACATCTAAAAAGTCAGTGCCTATGAAATAGAAAATGCTTGGCTGAGAAAAATATCAGAATTTGAATTCGTTCAGTATAATTCAAGGAATGGACTTCCCCAGGCTCAAATCGCGACATGGCCTGCCTTGATCAACTCGCGAGGCTCTGACATAGCCAACCTAAACCCCACAGCGTCATCCGGCACCGGTGGAGTCATCGTCGTCGCTCATAAGCCCTCTCGATTCCACCGCTGCCCCTCTCGAATCGACCGTCCCCAGTCAGCAGCGTGCGACACCGTCCACTCGTCATCTCTTCCTCCCCAGCAACTTAGGCTGGTTGCAGAACTGGGTTGCTATGGCTCGGAGGTTGGGCTGGAAGGGAAGGGATGAAATGAGGCTATTTGCGTCTTTTTACCTTTTTCAATTTGATTTGATTTGATTTTTTTTTTTGTTTTTTGCTTTTTTTATAAAATTTTATTTTTTTATTTTTTTAAAGTAAATTTTTTATTATTTTGTTGTCCACGTGGAACTCCACGTCAATTAAAAATGGGCCCCATAAATGCCACGTAGGCAGATAACGGATTCGCTAACGGAGGGGGTGATCTGTAAGTTTTCGCGACGTGGAGTATGTACCCATAAATGTCCCCAAAATCGGGTATGAACTCGTAAATGACCCTATAGGTTGAGGGGTTTACTGTAGTTTACCCTAAAAGAAAACGAGGGGAAAACACAAAATCAGAACTCATAAAAAAAAACCTAGCTCCGCCAATTTACTTCCTTCCCATTTCTCTCGATCTAAACCTATCTCCTCCAACTTAGAAATAAAATGGCGTCTTCCTTCCCATTTTCTCTCGATCTAAACCTAACTCTGCCAAGTCAGACATGGGGACAAGAGGCTGCACCAGTGTGGATGCCTTACTTTGCTTCCTCACTGAGGGTCGGTTATAGTAAATGAGTCAATACTCTTAGATAACAATGTTGCAATTGGAGTTACGAGGAGTTTAGTGACTCAAAGGGATGTTCATGTGCTGGGAACAAGGGGTGATAACCGGGTAGTGAGCGATGCCATGACATTGAGCATGCAAAGTACGGCATAAGTCACAAGTGTGGGTCATCGCTTTATTGTGAAATCTCATGAAGTGCAACTGTTAAGAGCTCAGTTAGTGGCAGAATGAAATTTGATTTAAGATTGTTAGAGCGTCATCCGAAAATTGAAAAGGGAGAGGGAAAGATGTCCAAGGAGACGCGATGCCAGTTTGAAAGGTTGCAGAAAGAGAACAAACAACTATCAGAGATGGTGGCTGTTTATTCTAGAGACTTGCAAGAGTATCTGGAGGCCTTGGAGACACCAAGTAACGCAAGCGAGGAGATCATGGGATAAGTTTCTCTCATGCTAAGAGAGTGATCTTCAGAAGCTCAAGCAATGAGCCCCAAGAAGCAGTGCGTGAAAACCCAAAAGAGAATGTCTAGATGGCCAAACTAAAGTCTCCTGCTATGGACAATTAGTTTCTTTGTTTAAAAATAAATAAATTTTGAGTTGTGGGTTTTGTAACATGTTAATATTTATGATTTTTTTTAAATTTTAAATTAGCCTGAATTATTTTTTAATCCTAGATCTGTGACCGCGCCAACCCATGTCTGCAACTAATAATGCTACTTTATCTATATATGGGTAAATTCACACATTTTCATATTATAAAAAATATAAAAAATAAAAATTAGATAATAGATCCTATTTTTACGGAACACAATTATCCATTATTTTTTTAATTCTAAAATAAATTTTAATTTTTTTTAAAAAAAACCTCTGACATGCGCAGAATTACGTGCGAAGCTAGTATGGTTTGATATAAGAAGGAGAGGCAGCATTTGCTGCTACGTGGCATAACGTCAGACTATTAAACTGCAACTTTAATTCCTACACGAGATGCGCACACGGGCGGCGATTTGAACAAAAAATAAATAAGTAAATTCCTCTAAAACCCCATGGGAGAGTTTCCGCCCCAAAAGACGCAAAAACTGCAGGAGACTTCAGTGTCTGTCAGACTTGAACTTCACTTATCCGTTGGAGCTCTTACAATGTTTCTTCTCAAGGTACTCCATTGATGAGATTGAGTTCTATTTTCCTTCAATTTGTATAAAATAAAATAAAAACAATTCTATTTAGTCTTATGTTTTTAATTATGACTTTTTTCCTTTAACTTTTGAACTTTTTTTTTTTTCTCTCTTACAGGCATGGAGACAAACAGCTTTCGGGATTTATGGGTATCTGAATTTCACCAAGTCTGGTTTCATGTAAGCTCCAATTCCTATATATTTAATTGGGATCATATTGATCCCTGTAAAGATTATAGCATTTCATTAAAAATTGCTCATTTACTTTGTTGAATAGCGAAGCATATAAATTTTTCCATGTTAGATGCTAAATTTAATTTCTCATTTTATGAAATAAAATGCTCACTGTCATTAGAGATCTAGGTGAAAACTTTAACATCATGGCAATAGTCTATTTTATACTCTTTACAATGTAAATTGAAGTATATTCATTGTAGAGAACATTCAAAGCAATTCAAGCCAGAGGATACGCAAACTCGGATAGAAGGGAAAAATTGCATTGTAACAGGAGCCAATTCTGGCATTGGTTTTGCGACTGCCGAGGGACTTGCATCACGGTGCTTTTTCTTGCTTTATTTGTTGGCTAGTTGCTAATATATTTTGACTTCAGGTGTTTAGAAATATACCTTAATGAACTAATTCATTGCTTTTGTTTTCCTTTATATAATGTTTTTCAGTGGGGCAAATGTGTATATGGTATGTCGAAATAAGGAGAGGGGTGAAGCTGCGCAATCTAAAATTCAGTCTGACACAGGAAACCAAAATGTTCATTTGGAGGTATATATGCATCCTTTTTATTGTCTTACTTAGTGTTTTATGGTTAGTCGGATGTTATATTTTAGCAAATTATTTGGTTAACTAGTAAACACCAGTATGTAAATTTTTTTGTTTTGATCATAAATGGCTTAATATGATTTTAGTTTGCAGGTCTGTGATCTTTCTTCTGTTAGTGATATCAAGTCATTTGCATCGCAGTTTTCCTCAAAGAATGTTCCAGTGCACATTTTGGTAATTTATCCATTCTAATCTGCTAGTGACATGATATTGCAGTTAAATGTACGGGGCTCTTGTTAATTTTATAACCAGTCATCTACACTTCATATATATGTACACATTGGTTTCTTCTCCTTTCTCTTTTAATGTATTTCTGGTTTTTTGGGATTATGAATTAAAGTAATTACATTAGTTTGCAATTTGGTTACTTGCTTGTGATGTAGCTTTCTGCATGATTTTGAGAAACCTAACGTGCATGCTCCACTGCCTTTAGGTGAATAATGCTGGTCTGCTTGAGCATAATAGAATTACCACATCAGAAGGGTGCGACCTTGATTACTCTATATACAGCTTAGTTTTAGACATTCGGTTTCTAAAATGTAATTCGTTTTTTCTTTTTTGTCATTTCAAATTCCAGGTTTGAGTTGAACTTTGCAGTTAATGTATTAGGCACCTATGCAATGACGGAATTGATGTTGCCATTGCTGGAGAAAGCTGCACCTGATGCACGGGTTATTACTGTTTCCTCTGGTGGAATGTACACCACACCCTTGACCAAGGATTTACAGGTAGCTGCTTCTATAAAATCCTGTTAGCAACGTAATTCTATCTATCCGATACTTATCAAATTCCAAAATATATGTCTTAATGCAGTTTAGCGATGAAAACTTTAATGGGGTGCAGCAGTATTCTCGGAACAAGAGAGTTCAGGTTTGATGATCTGTAAGAGACATAATATGTTTGCATTCTTGTAGTGAACATTTATCCTTTTTATGTTATGCTTCACCAAATGTCAAGAAGGATGAACTTAATATTGTGATACAATTATACCTGTTGTGAATTTAGGGGAGCAAAACTAAGCATTCGAGAAAGTAAGTTGTAGAAAATGCTTTTTGCACACATCTTTCTGATTGTCACATGCAATGATGTTGAAGGCAGTGCGTTCTAAACTTAAGGCTTGAATTTTTCTTCCATGATATGGACAATAAGGATTTACCTTTTTTCTTGGTCTGAAAGGAGTTACTAGTGTGGAAACTTTAATGTTAAATTATGTCAAATAAGGAGGAGCTAGTTTGCACCCCTATATCCATGACTAAAAACACTCTTGCGGCCAAGGTTAAAACATTTAAACTTTGAGTGGTATAAACTTGGGTATAGAAAGATTTCTAATAGTTAGGATTAGCTACTTTTCCAGTTCCTTATTTTAGTTTCTTACTGGACCTATGAATAATACATGCCAAATGATATTCCTTAAATCTGTTTTTCTTTGTCCTGTGAGTTGAAATTCCTGGCTCAAATCCAGGATGGATGAGCCTCTGTGTTTTGATGTATTTAGCCTCTCACAGATGATATTCTTAGTACTTAGAAATGCCATATGATTGGATCGGTTCTGTTTTGATCCCCATTATGTTTCAACATAAGTTCTGTTTTTTTTTTTTTCAGCTACTTTCTGGAGCTAACATTGTTATTTTTCAGGTGGCATTAACTGAGAAATGGGCTGAAATAAACAAAAACAAGGGGATTGGATTCTATTCATTGCACCCAGGTTGGGCAGAGACACCAGGGGTTGCCAAGAGTTTGCCAAGTTTCTCTAAAGCGTACGGAACTTATCCTTAACCTTCTAAATTCTTCCATATGTTCATCATATCTGCCATCTCGTTCTTTTTCCTTTATTCTACTCTTATTTCTTACTCTTAAATTTGTTTTAGTCTTTCGGGAAAGCTTAGAACAAACGAGGAAGGTGCAGACACCATAATTTGGTTGGCTTTACAGCCAAAAGAAAAGCTGGTATCAGGATCGTTTTATTTTGATAGAGCAGAAGCACCTAAACACCTGATGTTTGCGGCCACCAGTGGCTCTCATGCCATAATCGACCCCATTTTTGAGAGTCTCAAGAGTTTGTCTAGTATCTCCGCGTAGGTTCCAAGTTTAGAGCCCCATATTGTGATTTTAATTGCTCGGAGAAATTTAATGTCAATGTGGTAACAGCCGAATGAATGGGAAAAGGAGCAGATTTTACCTTATATATAACATAAGAGTGGTAAGGTTTCCATTGGACTACGGGTCCTTACAAGCAAGGAAGGAAGATGCTAGCATCGCGCATGGGCATGTGATGCAGCAAATTAATCAATGGCTGATATTGCATCAGACATCTACACACGACTGATGCTAACACCGCTCTCCTAGCAATCACTATGATAAGCATGGGACGCTGACTCGATATTTCAATTGTTGTGGGGTTTTAATAGCCACATGAAGATAAAAGAGCTTTAGCTCTAACCACATGTTTAATGAAGGCGATAAATAATCAACTATCATATCAACATAAGTCAAGTCGTTCAATCAACTAAAGTCAAATCAAATCAAAGCAAAACCAATGACAAATCCCTAACGTGATAATGTTGTCGCCTGCTAATTGGCCTAAATTGTAAGGATTATTAAACAAATTGTACAAGGAGAGGAGTCAAATTTTGAACTCGAACTCAAATTTTTGGGTCTTCTGTGTCAATAATAAGACCAATACTTTGTTCCGCTTCATTTTGGTCTTGCTATTTTTTTTACTTTCCACTAATTTTATCTTTTTGACCAATTTGGTTTTTATTTTTGGTTGTAAATAATTGAAGGGGAGAGTAGTTGATCTTATGCATATTCCTTCTCTCCCCTTGTCCCGACTTCCCCGATTCATAACTTCCATCATTCTAAGACTAAACATGCCACGAAAATAAAAGCGTTTGAAGCAAAAATATATAGAAATTTGAAAAATGGTACAAAACACCCTTAATACATGCACTACAAAGTTCACAAGAGCACTGAACAACTCTTAGTTAACAAGTACTTGCACAAGTCATTTAACAAACAAAGAAGAAACAAAACATTATTTACAAGTCATCTGTTTCAATATTAAGTGTTGTCAATGCCAATGACATACACATTTTACACGATCCTGCATCTTTTTTATTTATTCTATTTTTATCTCTCACACATCTATTTTTTTTTAACCTTTGCCTACAGAGTATTTCACCTTTCAGATGAAATTTATGAAGTAACAGAGGACCCTCAATATGCTACAAAGCCATTATTGCTTTATCACCCAACAATGCCGGCTTTCTCAACCAGTACTGCTGAAACCTCTGCCTTGCATACTCCACGTAGTCAAAATCAATTTTGTTCACGTAACCCTACAAAACCACCAGGGAACTTATTTTTGTTACACACACGAAGAAGCAGTCACTCTGACACAAGCTATTGTGAAGAATAAAAGCGTAATTAAAGTAGAAATTGTTACCGAAATTATTCCCCATAAGCCCCAAAAGAGATGGTTGGCCAAAGTGTACTTCTCTGATTTGTCAACTAGCTCATCCACATCAGCATCACTGGGTTGGTAACCTATTAGAAATAATGGAGATGAAGTATGTTCAGAATCACCAAAGGTTTCAAAGAGAACACTTAATTTAGAAGAATTTGTTTAATTATTTCTCCTACTATCTGTTTTCTCAAAACTAAAAAACTTGCTCTATGTCAGACTGTAATAACCTTGATTAAAACAACTCATTTTATTTGGTGGCTGAGGATGCATCATGATTCCAAGAAACAAAACACTAGAACCAATCGGGCCAGAAAATTATACAAAAGAATTGCAAGATTTCCTAATTTCAATTGCATCATTCAAAGTGGCATTAGACTTGTCCAGTCAACGCAATGAGTTTGTTAACGTAAAGAGAACCTCTTTCTTGGAACTTTTCAGAAGTCAAGAATGTTAAATGTCAAGCATGACTAATCTGAGCATCAAGCATGCACAAACCAAGCTTAAATCTTGCAGAAATCTTCCTCACACAATTATCTACTGGTAAAGAGTCTCAGATAATATGAGCCATATATGATAAGGTGAAAATCAAATAAGTTAATTTTGTTGTAGTATCAGAACATGAGAAACTTGAACAGTTTAATGTAGGAAAAATTACCAATATCATGTATCGCAGACAACTGAAAAGAGAAATCACGAAATGAATAGGCTAACCTGCAGAGCTCAGATATATACGGACAAATCTCTGGCGCTCCTCCAGACCTGATGCAATGCAGTCAAGAAAATCAAAATATTTAAATTCATAACGAAGACAATACAAAATTCTTAATTCCATGTTTGCAGCTTCATTGAATTCTTAAAGTTTGTAGGAGAAAATGCTACGAAGACCAAATCATTAACAGATTAAACAGTTACCTGGATAATTGCTGTAGTCCAAAACGTGAGGTGTCTCAGAGTGGTAGTTTGCTACCATCTCACAGAAATGATTTGCAAGGTCGTAAGCAACAGGATTATAACTGGCATATTCATAATCCTGGACACGTTAACAAATAATATTAGTAATTATAATAAATAATCATTGCAACAGAACTCTAGACATTTCTTGGTGTATTCTTTCTTTGGCTAGAACATTAAAAGAAATATAAAAAAGAAAAGAAAATCCAACAATGATTGTATTGATAGCTTGAATTGAATCATGCTTGTTGAATGCAAGGCTAGAGAACTTGCATATACTTTTACATACACGTGTAAGCATGCCAAGAAAAGTTACTCATCAGCGGCTGCTAAGTCACATTCTGAAAACGTACTACTTAGAATTTTCTGTATTGAATAATTAGAAACATCAACACCATAATTCATACTGGAAAAGGATGGGTTGGTTACTAAAATAGACATATAAATAAAATCCTAGATGCGGACTAGAATACAAAATAGGTGAGTATGAGTCCCCTTTGGTTTCTCTTGTTCTGTTCTTTTTGAATAATCCTTCAGATTAGTGATTCCAGTTCGTACATTTTTTGAATAAAAAGTATTTGGGGGTAGGAATTTTCAATCTACAAGACCTTTATATATGTTTCCTACTATTCAAGAAGTGGGCACCATTAAGTTATTAAGAACAACTAAAACAGTCAGTCGTATGTCAAAACAATTAAATTCATGTTCAATGAACTAAAGTGTTTGACTTCAGCTACCATCATAGGTCACAAATGGAATCACGTGAAAGGATGTTTCTTATAACCTAGCAGTTTCCCAAATTATGCAGTAGAGGTACAGAGAAATCTTAAACCCAGCAAGAAACATGAAGAAAACTGATAAAGAAAGTGTAATTACTTTCAAAACCACAGAAACAGATAATAAGAACAGAACACAGTAAGAAACTCACAATTAAAGTGATTGATCTGGTCTCTTCATCCATCATTATGTTACCATATTGCAGGTCATTGTGACAGAACCCAATCTCATGATAGTCCCGTGATAGTTCCTTCTCTAACATACCAATTTCCTCCTCTAAAGTATCCAAGCCAAATTCCTTTGTGTCTTTTACTGAACACAAAGTTTTAGCCTCGCTAAGCCAGTTTCTGTGGAAACAAATACACTGCATAAAAAGTCTTAAATTCTCAAAGGGAAACTTTAACTTTCTGAAAAATATAGCTACCTCATTCTATCCCAAAGGACTACATTTTTCGGACCAGGCATATCAAGATTGTGGAACTCTCTCAGCTTAGCTGCTATAATAGCAGATACTTCAGGATCACGGAGGTCAGCAGCTGATAGTGTCTGAGAATTTAAAAGAAAGTATGGTTATGATAAAAAGGATCTTCAGAAATAGGTTATACAGTGAACCTCAAACATTCCTTTTTGGCAATGAATTATAGTCTAGCTTCATTTGAATGAAAAAGGAAGAATTCAAATCTGAACTAAAGGAGACGAAAAAAATAAATTGCTTGCTACTTTAGAGTTTGGAGAACACTGAAATTTTGACTACACAGATCAGTGAAGAATATTTAACATGACATATATCTCGTTTGTTTCTGCTTCACATTTAGAAAATATAAGATCACTAACGTCTAATTCAAATTAGATGATACATAAGTGGTACTGCTGAAACATTCAGTAACTCGAAGGTGAAACTGGAGAAGAACAGGACCTATTACACGTTCAGCATCTATCTAGATAGCTACATGATTTATTGCCTCTCATTTTTTTACCAGGGTAACTAAAAGATTCTGCAAATAGGCTGTTTGTGTATCCAAGTTATAGTTCAGTAAATATAATTCTGTAAACTTAGGCCTAAGAGTCAGGGTTTAAATAGTCTTTATTTCCTGGTATAACGAGTTCAGGCTTTAGTAGTATCATTCATAATCTTCACAAAGTTATCAAAAGATTACTAATTGAGAATGATCCTTCAAGTGACTAACAGGTCCCTACTTTCACAGAAATATAAGAAATCAGATACCCTTATCATAAACAAAGCTAAAGCACCTCCTGAAAAAGAGTGGGAAACATTACTTTGACCGTACTGCTTGACCCTGTTTGCTCTCTGCTCCATCCAATTTAGTCCTAAAGTACATATTGGACCATATTTTTTTTTTTTAATTATTCTTTTCAACCAATAATACAATATCAGCACGCCAATAACTATGAAACCATTAAAGAAACATGAAAATGAGAGAGAGAGAGAGAGAGAGAGAGAGAGAGAGGAAGAGAGAAAAGTAGTGACAATTATAACAGATTTAGTGAAAGTATCCCAAAGAATATCATTAGTTAAAGACTTAAAGCAACCCATACTAAAAAAATAGAAAATAATATGAAATGGTAAGGAAATTTAGCAATTCACATACTCTAGCGTGAATGAACTCTTCAACCCGTCCATCCGCGAACCGCCCAAGAAGACGGGGTCCCTGGCCATGCTTGGACATGCACTCAAAGGTCTGAATTTCATCATCCCTATTAAAGAAAACTTCAACTCCTTCGCCATAAACCCGGACCAGAACATTTCGGGAAAAATCACCAGCCCTCGTGGGCCAACTTATTTGGTAAACCTCATTAGTCATGGCACCCTTCAATGGTATGACCTGCAAGGCATTCAAGTCATCCACTACGTCCCCCCATTCAGAAGCTACAGATACAAGTACCTTTTTTAATTCCTCTGGAAGACAACCTTTGATTAACCCAACTCTCTTTATGGCCATTATGTATCAATACAGAGAGAGCAAATTCTTTTTTAAAATTCTTGACCTGCATGTCAAAGGGGATATAATTCTCAGCACTGTAATGTTATAGTGTTCTGGAATCTTATCAAATCAAAACACTCAAACAACAGTTTGAAGAAAGTTTCAAAAGAACTAAAGAAAATCAAAAGGGAAAAGATACACATAATGAAATGAACGAATTCAGAAGATTAGTCATCAAGATTGATAGAATTACAAACCTGATCAGTAAAAGTAAACTTACCCAACAATCATGCAAGGAGAAAAAATTAAGTTCAAAGCTGCAATCTTAATAGTAACATCTAATTGAAATGCTCATTTGACTAAACTTGCTCTATTAAGGCAGTATTGTTCAGCATTTAAGAAGATCACAGCAAATGCTCAAAACATCAGGAAACATATGAGTTCCACAGAACCCAGCAAAGAGAAGAACTGATCTAAGAAAACAGAACTCACCTAATAACAGCCTCAGGAAACATATGAGTTCCACATAACCCATCAAAAAGAAGAACTGATCTAAGAAAACAGAACTCACCTAATAACAGCAAGACAGGCAGGACCGTCCAAGAAAGCTTCAGGTTGATGCCAAACTACAGAGCCTTATATAAATGTTTCAAACAATCTTTGAAAGTTATTTGATACTTTAAAGAATTAAAAGAATGACTTTTGGCACAAAAGAAAGAAGCGAATGAATAAACAAACAAAACTCAGTTGGTGGTAGTGTAGAATTTGGTTGATGAATATCAGTGTGAAAACAAAAGATTGAAAAAGGAGAGGACAAAAAGGGCAGAGGAGAACCGACGCCAGTTTCATTTGTTGTAGGAAGAAAATGAAAAGCTATCAAAGAAGGTATATTTTGATTCTAAGGAAATTCAGAAACAGCTGGAGGCTTTGGAGAATCCAGGAAAGCGCAAGCGGGATCACGAGAGGAGTTCAAGAAAGAGAGGTGTGATCATTATGGGTTCAAGTGATGAGCCCCAAGACGTGATGCATGAAAACCTGGGAGAGGAGATCCAGAGGGAAAAACTAAAGGCTCCTCTCATGGAATTATGAAGTGTGGCAAGGTGACGATGATGAAGATGATGACGAAGAAGAAGAAGAAAAAAGAAGTAGTTTTAATTTACTTGAATGTTTTTTTTTAGTTTTTACCTCTTTTTTTAGTTTTTTTAGTTTAGTTTTGTTTGTAATGCAATGTTTGAAGTGAAATAAAAATTTATTTTTAACACTCAATAAAGAAAAACTAACTAACCACACCACGTAAAAAAAAACTAACTTAACATAAAACAACTAAACAGAATAGAAAACAAAGAAGAAGAAACAAAAATAACTTATTTTAAAAACACACAAATATACAAGTAACTCACGGATGACCAGTTAAGGGCCTCAGAAAACAAAGGTAGGGGATCTGGGACGGTTGGAGGGGTGTTTGGGCCAAAATTCTGCACACCCTGCCCAACACTGGAGGCCCAGAAGGACAAAGCAAAACTTCAGGACCCAAATAGTTTGGACTTTTCATTTAAATTGGAAACGAAAACCCGAAATCAAGACGACCTAGCTCATGATCTATCAGCCCACAATAATAAGATTGGGCTTTGGAAACAAAGAAAAGAAATCAGCCCAAGCCCAAGTCAGATTTTTTTACCAAAAAGACCCAAGATTGGAAGGAAGCCCAGTGCATGTGATTTGTTCAGCCCACAGTCCCAAAACTCAAAATTGGGCTTGGCATGATTAAATGAAGATAGAGAACAGGCCAAATTTGAAGAAACCCAAAATCAGTTTTATCAAAACTACCAGCTCTCTACCCAAAATGTAAAAAGGGTAAAAAATACCACTTTGGGCAAAATTGACGCACTCAGCCTTGGATCACAAAGAAACCCATGTGACTATCTGACTTTGAAAAGTCAACAATTTCAACTAGTCACAAGAAAAGTCGATTGGGAATTAATGAAGGCAGGTCATTACAGAAAGACTTCTATGAAACTCTGCAGCCAAAAGATCAGAATCCCTTTCTATATAATTCTGCATCAGAGCAGATGATCCTTCCAAGAGATAAACAAACTACGATCTCAAAAGATAAGTGAGAAGCAAGAGAGTTGTTCAAAAGCAAACTGACCACCACATCAGATTGTGTTCTTTCTCTTTACAAAGAACAACAGAAAACAAAGAAGAGTTGGTCTTTCTTTCAGAAAAGCAAGGAAAAGACCCCCATGAGAACTGATTATTGATGGTTCTTCTCTGCAAGAATAGATAACTTCCCTTTTTCTTTGCATTTTAAATAAAAGATCTTTCTTTTGGAAAATCTGCCGCCCATTATTAAAAGATTAGAAACAAAAAAAAACTACTCCAGCATTTCCTATAAATATGAGAGAAGGTGAAAAAATCAGGACAACCAAAAAATCAATCAAAACCATAAACTCAAAATGATCACTTGATCTCAAAAACCTTCAAAACATTAAAGTAACCAAAAGCTCATTGAGCCACAAGAAACAAGTCAGCTATAATTCAGAATCTCTAAACTTCAGTCCAGTTTCAGAGAAATATTCATTCAAATCGAGATCTCTCTCGTTACAAATTTGGTTCAGCACAAGCCAAATCAAGCAGAGTTCGGGTTTTACAAATATGAAAACCTCAACAAATTTATGGAGAGCCCTGATCAAGCAGAACAGGTACTATAATGCAGTTCTGGCTGAGTAATCATCAAGTCCAGCCACTTCTTCCCCTTCCAGATTGAAGATGTTCCAATTCTACCTATTCAAAAAGCCTTCTAGGGCTCGAAATAGATTAAAGCTCTGCCACACTCGAATGTGGTATCGATTTATAGCTAAAACTTGACAGTTGAAGGTGTTGATAGTCCAATCCAACACAGACATACCCTGTCTAGCCCAGATCAGAAGCATTTATCCAGGCAGAAATTGAAGTCCGGCGCTCTTTTTGTCTTTTTAAAGTTGGCCTTCCCTTTTTGAGCTTTGTAAAAGGCAATTCTGCCTAAAACAATTCACTTTCTTATCATTTATTATAGTCAGAACTACCAGTTTTGTACTATGAAAAATTGTGATGTCCTCACTAGTCTGAGGCAAGAAAAGAACTTACTTATGAGATATTCCTCACCCAAATTCACAATCGTTTGTTTAGAAATCAGTAACTTGAGGTGCAAGTTATCTATTTTTAAGAACTCTGCTAGGATTTTCATTGCTAGCAATGGCACGCTTGACACAAAAGAAAGTTGACTTATTGACCAGTCAATCATTTTTGAGATAATGGAGAACTTTACCCTACCATCACAAGAACAAATATCAAACGGGTGAACAAGGGGTCACAATGGTCCCGCTTAAAACACTAACTTCTTAGACACCTAAGGTGTCGCCTAAAGAACTCCTAGACATTGTATTGACGAAAACGCTCACTGGAGTTACCAAAAGTCAGTTGATATGAAAAATCTTTTTAAATTTTTTTATAAAAAAGAAACATAAATTTAAAATAATAAGAAAACAAATAAAGAGAAAGGATTAGAATACTCCCTCTTGAAGCGATTAGGTCGAGCATGGATATATTTGGAGGTCGCGACTTCTCCTACTACTCCACACTTCTCATCCTTATGATTGGAGTTGCATTTTCTCTCCTTTTTTATTGAGCTATCCTATATTACTAAAACAAACACACAAAAACTTGAAAGAGAATTAAAAGGATTAGGAAATAACAACTAAAATGAAAAGGAAAATCAACACACATCCAATTCCATGCTTCAAAGTGGCAATCACCAAAGTAAATTAAACTAGCTTGATGCTTGCTACTTAATTTAAACCTCTTTTGTGTTGTGTAAGCTAGGACTCAAACCCAGTTCTTTTGCTTGTCAGGCAATTGTCCTTTTCCGTTGGACTACAAACACAACTTGTCATTAACTTTAAAAGATGAAACTGTCAAATTATTAAAAATAAAGTAGGAAAATCAAATAGAATCAAGCGATGTTACCAATCCTTGACAATGGGGCCAAAAACTTGTTGTCGTTGGATCAGCTGCACCAAAATGGATTCAGCTGCATCCTCAACTTGTGATACTTGCAACTGCACGAGCCATTGGTAGTTTAGCATATGTAGGTGCGAGGTCGATTCCACAGGGATTGGTGATTGAATGATCCAATTCGTTTTCTGAAAACAAGAAAGAAAGAAAATAACTAACTCAAGCAAATAAGTTCCCAAGTTCAATTTAGATTAACGGATTGATTTTAGCTAAAGTATGATTAAGCCATGGTGTCTGGCCCTAACCTGGTATTCCTAATTCCCTAATTTGATCATCTGTTGTCTAACCTAAAATTAAGCATTAGGAATCCATTAAGCATAGAAGAACATGTTAAACAACCAAGTATGTATCTAATCCCGATTGTCGAATTCTATACACACTCTTCCTATTCATAGTTCAATTCGAATTAAAGCATGGTGCCTACTCTTAATTCAAACCAAGATAGCTAACATGCAAGCCTTAATGGTGATCAATCATTCAAACTAGCATATTAGCTTATAAGCATAATGAATAAGAACAAAAACCATAATTGAAACTTGGAAACTAATCAAACTTGAAAACTAAGAAATTACATTACAATGAAAATTAAATTAGAACTCAAAAACTTGAAGGAAAATTTAGTAAAATAAATTTGTTACAACAATTGAGAACTAGAAAGGAAAACGAAAAGAATTTGAGGGAGAGAAGGGAGGGGAGCTCTAGAGAAGTGTTTGAGGGCTCCCCCTCTTGGGGTGTGTTTACAAGCTTGGAGAACTTCACTATTTATAGGCCTAGAGGAAGTAGAAATCTGATTATACAATTGAGTTCACTGACCACACTCACTTCACCAACTTTACCTAACTTCCCCACCAAAAATAATTAACTCATCCATATGTCATGCATGACAACGCATTGCATTCAGCATGTGGGCTCGTTTTGGGCTTGTGGCTGAAAAATCTAGAAAAATATGGATCTTGAAGCTCTTTGTCTTATCTTTCCAAGCATATATAGCCCAGCTCAAGGAAAAATCGGAAAGACCTTCAAATGTCATTTTTGGCCCAGTAACGTAGATGCTGCTGATTTTTGACCTTAAGCTGGCAAAACTTGCATAACTTCCTCTAGAAGACTCAGAATCATGAACATAAAATGCCTTAGAAACTGGACTTCCACATCTTTCCAATGATGTATGGCTCATTATATGATTCTTTCGGAGTAAGTACACTATAATCGTTGAAGTTGACTGATCTGCAGACACAATTGTTGAGCTAATTTGACTCCAAATTGCATTAAATGAGTCCCAAGCTTAATACACTGAAACAAAGATAAAAGATGGTCAAAAGCACAAGTTTAACTCAAAAACATAACCAAATCATAAGTTAGAAGGGTACACAATGATATGTAATTATGCACTGATTAGATATAGGTAAATTAGTACAGCTCATGGAACTCATTTTAGAAACTCCATTATTTTGTGGAGTTCCTGGTGGAGTCCATTGTGATAAGATGCCATGTTCCTTGAGGTAATCAAGAAACTCTGTGCTTAAGTATTCACCTCCTTGATTGGATCTAAGGATTTTAATACCCTTGCCTGTTTGGTTTTCAACTTCATTTCTGAATTCTTGAAACTTTTCAAAAGATTCAAACTTATGCTTCATTAAGTATAAATACCCGAACTGTGAATAATCATCGGTAAAGGTAATGAAGTATGAATAACTGCTGCATTTGTAGATTAATCCCAACAGTTCTAAGTGAATTAATCCCAACAGTTTTGTAATTCCAAGCTTCCATCTATTGTCATCTGATGAATTCGATATTGGCTAATGCTTGCAAGAAATCTCTTGCAATTTCTCTTCCAATGTCCATCCTTGCCACAATGAAAACAAGTACCTTTCAGTTACTTGTCATTCTTTTGTATTCTTCCTTCCTTGGGTGTTTAGAAAACCTTTCTTCTTCTTTCATTTATCCTTACCTTATATTTGGATTTGAAAGAGAAGAACCTTTCTAAAATTTGCAACTAACCTCTTTAAACCTTTATCTTTTGAGATATTCATTTAAGCTACTGTAGCCATGTTGAGTACCTCAGATAAGGTGTTCTTCATCTTTCCAATATTATAGTTCATAACATATTGGGATTAACTGATGATAGGGATGAAAGAAAGAATCTTATTGAACTTTAACATCAAAGAAAAATCCATATTTTCCAATCTCTTAAGTAATCATATTACTTTGAGATCATGTTGATTAACTGGGAATCCACTTACCATTCTTGTCATAACAAGTTCACATATGGTATTGTAAGCTAGGAGTAGCTTCACCTTTTCATGGATGCCAACATGTATCTTTGCCTCAGTTGTCATCTGACACATGCTTCTTATAAGCCTTTGTCTCCTCCTTAGTGTCATATGTACCAAGAGGGGTATGTGGTGGGGTTTTTCTTCTACACAACAAATCTCATCCAATTATAGGACAAGTTGGTGCTTATAGTTCATGTCATCTTGGACATTTGAGTCAAGTATCTTTGAGATTGGGTTTGTGATGGTTATTTTGAAATTATGCATAACGTAAATAGATTTTAATTTAGATTAATCTTCTACTAAGGACTTGAGTCTTTAAGTCATGATGGTAGGTCCCACTATTTTTGGCAAATTTCATATCCCTCTTGAAATCCGAGAGTTTCCATTGAAACTCTTAGTGGGGATGGGAGTCTCACTTTCACATAGTTTTCCTCAACCTAACAGTTTGTTGGATTGCTATGTTACTAATGAGAGGATACTCTTGTCCAATCACATCATTAATGTGAATACCCATCACTAGACCTCAACCTAATAGTTTGTTGGTTTCGTTTGTCTTAATTAACTTATTCCCACCATGCTTGTAGGTATAGGGTTTCAAGTATGTCCTCAACCTAATGATTTGTTGGCCACACTTGTTATCTATTCGCACTACATAAAATATGTGTAATAGGCTTCCCTTGGATGGCTACAAGTACTAGATGTTGCCTCACTGAGGTACAACAAAGTGTAAATGTGCCACCCAATAAGAGACTACCATGGTGGAAGGCCACAAAATAGCATTCAAAGTGCCATTTCGCTTATCAACTTAATATTGCCTTGAGAGTAGTTAAATAGGTCTCATTTTAATCCAATTTTAATATTGTTAAAATTACTTATCTAATCTCATTAAATGGTTTACAGTGCAATATATTAGTAGCACATAATACTCCCACTAAATGTTTTAGAAACCATTTGCTTGAGATAGTGGGAATGTTGGATCATGGTCTTGGATGGTGATTTGGCATGAAAGGCATTTTCTTATTACATAGCCAATCACATAGCTCAAGTGTTCGGTCTAAGTCCATAACCATCATTTAATTATTTAAACACTTTAAACAATTAAACTAGCAATGTGAACACATGCTCTTGTGATGCATACATATATATGGGTTTAATTCAAGTGGTAACGATATTCAAATAAAATAAATTTACCATGGAGTGAATATATTTTACTACAATAGTAAATGTAATTGTAGAAACCTTTTAGGCATAGTTACACATCATATATTGCAACTAGGTCCAAAATTATTCAACAATTAATAATAGATCCATTGTTGATCCACTAGGGTGTGGGGTTAAAGCATGCATTTGTATAACACAAAGTGGTGATCATGATTATTCCAACAAGGTGAATAATCATGAATGTGACTAGGTAGGCCAACCACACTCACCAAAGTAATCAAAATTAATTTTAGCGTGGTGGGTAAATAATTAGTGATAGGAATATAGGAATAATTTGATCAACTTTGGCATTTTTATATCAAATCACCATCATTTACATCTAGATAGACCCTATGCACTCACCAAAGTAATCTTATTAATTTTAGTGTGTGGGTAAATGTTTATCAAGTGGAAACATTTTGAAAAACTTTCAATTTTATACTAAAACATCATCATCATCTGTTGAATGATCTTGGTGGAAAATTCCAATAACACAATCATCAAAATTATTCACCTAACTTATGGATCAAAAAGATCCCATAACAAGAACATCAAGAACGCCAAGAGCATACATATGAACTAATATGAATGTTCATGTTATTTCCGGAAAAATCCATATTTCATTTTAACCATCTCATGCTCTTAATATCATATATTTCATGAAGTTAAAATCATGGGGGTTTTAATTCAACTATGCTCTAATGTTCATACATACATACATATATGATTACAAAGAGAGCACCAATCATCAAAATATAAATTTGGAAATCCAAAATCCCAAACAATCCATTTCACTCCATTTGATTTTTGTTCAAACATATCAAAATAAATCAAGTATAACTATTATACTTTTAAATGAATATACAACCCATATATGCATCTCTAAACCCTAAAACATATCAAGTTCATGACCTATGGCTCTGATACCAATTGAAGAAATTTCAAAACATTTTTTCGAAGTTCATTTGAATATTAAACATGCATTTATCTTGATGATTTGTGTTTGGTCTTCTCTTGATGATTACTCTTTGTTGATCTCCTCTTTGATCTTTGATATTTGATCTTTGCTTCTTGATCTTTCTCCTCCATGTGAGCCACAGAAGTATATGGCCTCTAAGTCTCCTCATTTTGCGTTCAAGTGCACGATTTGTTGAGATGAGCTGGGAGCTCAATCATTATTGGATTTTGACGTTTTGTGTTAAGTTGAGTTTACGTACTTTTCTTGGGTACTGTTGGAGCTTAAGTTGCTCATTGAGGATTGTGAGGCCAGAGAGCTTTGTGAGTTTTAAGTTTGAGGATTCTTTGAGTTGTTGAAGATGCAAATTGGACAGGAGGTGAGTAAAACCATCTGGTTTGTGAGTAAAATCACGTATTATTATATTAAATATAATGTGCTTATGATAATGTTAATGGATATAATTAACATGCTATTGTGGATTTTGAGATACACTGACGCAATAAAAATTATGACAAACAGAAAGAACATTTCAAATGAAAAACGCAGTACGCATCATAAAACTTGAGCTCACATCATACATGACGTCCTGAAGGGGAATAAGAATTAACTCAAAAACAGTTGTGCTTTATCAAAAGCAAAAAAATTCAACTCAGGCAAATGCAATACAGGTGATATGAATTAGTAAATCAATAAGCTAAAAACAAACTCACATGAAGTATGGAAATCCTTGAACTTGTAAAACCCTTAAGAACAGGCTCTGCCACCAGCTCAAAATATCACATCAACCATGCCAACAAGCATACGATATTTAGCCAGATGTCTGGCATCTTCAATAATGGGTATAACATTCCTGCGCGTCATAGCCATGTTTATCAAGTCTCTGCCACTTATATGAGAAAACTCCACTGCAAAAAAAAATCTAGTCTACAAAAAAGAATAGCAGTTATAAGAATCTATTCTCAGCTTAACCAATTTAAGAGCTGCAGTATTACAAGCAACACTTACAGAGCTAACAATATCAGAAACATGAGACACTGTGGTGCTAGAAGCAACCCCAAGGTAGAGAACACGAGCGCCATGTGTCTTCATCGACATACAGAAACAAAGAGATTGTAGACTCAAAATCATGGATAGAAAATAGACAAAATAGAATGTAAGAAATCATGGAATCAAAACTTACAATCGATATATCATAAACACCAATGCGAATAGCTGCAGCCAACTTAGAACAGAAAGGATTCCAAATTATATATTGGTCTTTTGTTCCATCCTCATTCTGAATGGAAGAAAATGCACTTTTAAGGTGAACAAACACAATACAATCACATTCATTAACCATGAAATTAAAAATTGCAAGACACAGCCAAAACCATTTAGTAATCCCTAATGTTATTGCTTTGAACCGATAGATAGCAATCCCTAATGAAAATATCAATTGTGTTGAAGACATTTAAATAAGAAAACGAATGAAAGAAACCGACCTTAACAGATATCCTCTTCTCGTTGTAGACAGCTTCCCCGGGCACTAAACTCTTGGTAAGAAGATACTCTTCTTTACACTTGGCAATGAAAACCCCTTTATGTCCGTGAGGCACGACCACAACTCTTTTTCCACCCATCATTCCTATTCCACCACTAAACCTGCCTCCTCCTCTTCCACATCTCCTTCCATCACCCCTACCCCTGATTCGACTACCACTACCACCATGACTTGCACAAAACCCACAAACTTATAAGGGCTCCTGCAAAAATTTCCAAACAACAACCATAAACTCAAAAGTAAAACAACTCAGAAACTAAGAACCAAAATGAAGAGAAAATAGTAAATAACTAAGGGCCTGTTTGGTACCCTATCCAAGTAGGGAACTCAAAAATTGTTATTTTTCTTAAAAACAATGAGTTCTCAAATCCATTTTTTAAGATTCAAAAAGTTGTTTGGTATACAACTTAAAAACTGTTTTTGAATTTTTAAAATTTGAAAACTTGTTTGGTTGAATTCTTGAAAACAATTTTTTTTTTCTTAATTTTTTATGATTAAGATATTTTGATAAACATTATCAAAATTATATTAAACATACTATTTGAACATCCATATTTTAATACCATACATGTATGATCGACAAGCTCAATTGGTCTTCAAGTCTTAAATAATACATATTAAATTAAAACATTCTAGACTAAATAAAATATAAGACTAATGATTCTGAATATAATCCATCCACATTGCTTCGGGAATGTGATCTCTAACATCACTCATTTGATTAGCATTGTCCTCATGCAAATGGATGTGTTCTTGATTCACTTCAGAGCTTTCTTCATCTACCACTTGAAGATCATTGGCTTGATATTGATGAAATATGATGTCATTTCTTGATTGCATTCTAATGAAGTTATGCACAGTACAACAAGCAACAGGAATACGTTTTTGTTTCCTGATTGGATTATTTGGCATTAACTTCAAAATAGGAAAGCGAGCCTTAAGCACTCCGAAGCATCTTTTAATAACGTTACGTAGTGATGAATGCCTATAGTTGAACAATTCCATTGCCCCCCTTGGATGTCTGCCTCTCCCTCTATAATCACACAAATGATAACGCTCTCCATGATATGGTGCTAGAGACCCACGCATATTTGCATAACCAGAATCAACAACATAATATTTTCCTATTTAAGAACAATTAATATAAGTATTTTACTCCATTTAAATATAGTATAAAAATATATATTGTAAGTCGATATGTTTAAATAATTTCATACCTTCTTTAGGCAATGGAAAGTTGTTCTCTTCTCTACTTATTGCATCCATCAATACTCTTGAGTCATTAGCCGTTCTTTCCCATCCCGTGTAAACATATGTGAACAACATGTCAAACGAACAAGCACACATAATATTTTGTGTCACCTCAATTTTTCTGCCTCGATATGGAATTTGTTTTGATGCAGGAGCCCATGCATTGATGTGTGTTGCATCAATAGCACCAATACAATCCTACCAAATGACAATTAAACCATGACATGCTAGTACTTAACTATATAATAAGAAGAAAAAAAATTAGTTAAGTTAATCACATTTTTCTTAAACCACGAGTGGTAATTAGGATTCCCCATGATTTTAGGAGGTGTCATATCCATATTTGGAGGTTGAATTATCTGAGTACCAAATCGACATATTGCTTTGAGAACTCTATTAAACTGTCTAGACACGGTTTCTTTAGAATGTTGAAATTTCTCAGCATCCATCCTATTACGAGTTGTATGCCCAATAATACGCAAAAACATGCACATTGACTCCTCGACGCAAATTGATCTATCATCTTGTAAGAAATCCAAGCCCCTCAATGTCGAACACAAGTTCATAAATGTGTTCTTATCCATTCTAGCAAAATCAAATAACCTATTTGGATGTCCAGTCAACAACTCTATCACAAATTGGCGACCTGAGAGTTGTGAAATCATACATGGCTCTTTATGGAAACGTGAGTAATATTCATTTAGTTTTATAAATAAAAGCAACTCTCCAAGTGAATCATCCAAATTAGATGATGAATCACTTTCAGAACTTGAATGAGATGATGAATCACTTTTAGAACTTGAATGACAGTTGTCAACTTCATTTGAGTCCATCCTCTATAATAAAGAAAAATATAACAAGGAATAAGAAAAACATGGTAAACAAAGATAAATATCCTTCAATAGCAACAAGAACAAAATTTAGCTAGGATCCCAAACACAATAAATCCCCAACATAACAAGTTTACCAACACGGACTAATACAGAAATCTCAACTATCCAAAACAAATTCTTATCGTCGGACGAGTAGTGAAACGGACAAATGAGTAACAAAACAATTGCATAACAAAAATAACCAAAAGATGTGTAGACAGTTACAATTATGTAATCATATATCCCCAAATTAATGTTGTTAACATCAAAAGCCCATAGGAGACATCAATACTTTATAAATTTTCAATAAAGATCCATGATTCTTCAGCATGTGTAGACAGTTACTGTAATAATCATATAAATTAGGTACTACAACTCAGCACAACCATACAAGCATCCAAAGCAAGAGGTTCAACTTCAGAAAAAGCATAATCTTTGGTTTATTCGGGGAGAAAGAATAGTAGAAAGTCTGGACTGAATATATTCAAAAACATGGAAAACAAAAAATAGAATAAATCATATGAAATACTTAGAAGCATAAAATCAACCAAAGTTCATCAGTCCTGTACAAGTCACTGACAGAGCTCAAAATAAATTCAACCATTCACAACCAAGACCCTCCTAAACAAGACAATAGTAGTAGGAGGTTGAATTGTAGTGATTTCAAAAACCAAAAATAAACAAAAGGAAAGAAATTAATTATAAGCAGAAAAGCCTAGGACTACAGCGAGAGCAAAGCAAAGCATATGAAAAAAGCAAAAAAGCTGCAGTCATAAATTCACAATAATAAATTCCAACAATAAAATTTGAGTTTACGCTAACCAAATTATCAATCACAATCAAACAATTCTAAGATAATATATACCACAAAGGATCCTTATTGCATGAATAAAAGATGACAACAACATAAAACTAACAAGTTACAGAAAGTTCAGACATTATACTAATGACAGTGAAGAGGCTAAGGATTGAAGTGAATTTATGAAATGATATGCTAATGGTTTTCATAATTTCCAACAACTTTCTTGCTCCAGTTGGTATAGGACCAGCTCACATTAACAACAAACAAAATCCGGCTAAAGTGCACCATATTTTGGAGCAAGGAGAAGTCTTATTAGGTTGACGACGTACGTACGAAACAAGATATTTTCAAGCCTCATGAAAGTCACCAGTAACTGGATTGGAGGCATTGCAATTGGACAAGAACAAGGAACCATCACTCCGCTCATTACAGCACTAGCATTTTTGTATGTATGTATATATATATATATATATATATAAGCTAAAGCAGGTGAATCACATGCAATTTTCTTGCGTCTAAAAAGGTTCATAAATTATAGTCAAGTAGATACAAAAGGGTGACTCTTTGGCAGCCTAGAAAAAACCAAAGGCATGAAAATAACCAATACACAACACCTGCAGATAGCATATTTGCAGACAAAATATACAGTGCACCAGCAAGCAAGCACCTGAAAATGGATAATATAAAAAAAAGACCCTCAGAAAATCAGAAATAATTGAAGAAAGAAACCTTCTAATTGGCAGCTTATTGCGTTAAGTATGAACTGATGCAATAAAACCTCAAGATTTCGAGGGAGTGATTATCAAATAGGTAATTGCTAGAGTAGGGGAAATAATAGAAAGAGGGTCAGTTTTGCCCAAGTGTGATAAAGAATGGGGCATCGATATATGTAATGGCCTTGAAACCGTCTATCCTTGGAGTCAATAGAAGCACATTTGCAGGCATGATATACATATCATATTATTGCACCCTCCATAACCAATAGGACAAAATAAGAGCAAGACCTTGTTGCACCCTCCATAACCAATTTAGATAACCCAACATCACCCAATCCAACCCCATTTAATTAGTCCCAAATATAAACCTTTGTGAGTTTGTGGAGAGAGGAACTCATAAAATAATAAAGTAGGGAAAAATGGGGTGAAGGAGAAACTAAGAAAAGAAATAAAAAAGGAGAGGAGAGAAAAAGAAAAACAAAGCAGATGCAAAAAAAAAAAAAAAAAAAAAAAAAGAGAAAGAAAAAACATGGTGGTGGAGAACTGGAAAAGAGAACCAAAAAGGAAGCAGAGGAGGGGAGACGAAGGAGAGAAAGGGAGAGGGAACCAGAGAAGGGAGAAAAAGCAAAAAAAAACAAACAGTAAAAAGAAGCAAAATGAGTTAAGTGGTGTTAAGTGGCTTGCCACATGTCACGAATCTAGAAGGAAAACAAGGGGGCACAGGAACTTTGGTAACAGGTAAACCGGACTCTCTGTGGGCACCTATTGGCAACCATTGCTATCCATAACTAAAAGAACAAAAAGATTTAAGGTCAATATTTAAATGTATGTCGACTATTAAGGGTGTAATGATGAAGCTTTTGTTTTTCTTTTTAACATTATCATCACAAAAAATTTATGAAGCATAATCCATGAAACATTCAAAAATATCAAAATACCCTTATTGGACAAAAATATTAAGAGCATCTCCGAGGCGATGTCAAATATCAAACATTAAATTTGAATTTAATGACTTATGTAGTAATTTGACATATAGAGTTTTACATGTCAAATTAAAATATTATTTTATTACATGGTGTTTATTGATTTATACTTTCTAGACACATTAATTGGCGAGCGCAAATGTGCTAAGGTTGTACGAAAATGGCTTGTAACAAGTGAAGTGGACACACCTAAGTCATTGGAGCTAAGATTGTTGGCGGAATAACACTTGGCATAAGCGGTTGAGGGTAAGTTAGTGGCAGTTTGGAGGTTCCTAAAATCAAGGAAGCACTAAACAAGTGTGTCCTACATTTAAGGAATGAAGTAGGCTACTTAGATAACTACCTAGAGAGTGTGTAGTTACTAGCATGGTGACTAGATGGCTTAATCACCTAGAGAAGTGGGCGGCTATAACTAAAAAGATGAAGGATAACTACTTAGTTAGTTGAGTGGTTATTGCTCTACGAAAATATGAAAATGTGGGAGAGTGGTTCAATAAAAAAGGGGATCATGATTGGTAGTTATATCCATGATAAACATGTGTCTAATGACGTGGTGGCTTGTGAAGAAGTGTTCCACAAATCAAGGGATTGTAGCATGAAGAGTAGGGCGGTTACAATGAGGTGGCGACTTTAGGGATTACCAAATAAGCCTAAGTGGTTGGAAATAAAGTACTGAAGAAAGTTGAAGAGCTTACCTCATATTGTTTTGGGAAGAGGAAAGAAAAATGTGAAACCTTAGAAGATCCTAATTGCTTGAGCATATAGACAAACTTTGTGAGGGTAAATTTAGTAAAGGTTTAGAATCACCCCTTCATGTCCATTTTCTTTTGCTCTGTTTGAGCGGGTGAGCGAACGATATTATGCTACGTGGAGGCAATATTCGTGTATGAGTATCATTGTGTGTTGAAATCAGGAAGGTATAATGAGATGGTGCTAAAAGTGTAAAACCCTAGAAGAGACGGGAAGTGCAACAGTACATTTGTGCTTGAGTATGTAGACAAACTTTGTGAGGGTAAATTTGGTAAAGGTTTATAACATTGTGACCTCTTCATGTTCGTTTTCTTTTGCTTTGTTTGTGTGAGTGAGCAAGCGATATAATGCTTACATGGAGGCAATATTCATGTATGAGTATATTGTTTGTTGAAATCTTGAAGGTATAATGAGACGGTGGTACGACCACTCTGAAGGAAACCTTAGGATATTTTAGATTCATTAAGGCACAAAGATGAGAATACACTTGATATCTAGGCAACAGAATCAAAGATTAAAACTTTGAACTTAAAAACAAAATCTAACCTAAGTATCTTTAGGCCTAAAGGGATTAAAGCACTTAGACACTTCTACAAACTACTAGAGATAGTAGAGATTTCTTTATGCCTTTGAACCACTGCCTTGAGTAAAGCTCAAGATTGATCACCTATGGAGGGCCTTCACCACATGATTTTCCAAAAGAGAGCCATCCAAATGTTTGGTCTCTAACTTCATACATAAACCCACTAACTTCACCATATGGCCAAATTTCTCTCCTTATTAGGCATCTTGGACTTCATCTTGTAAGTTGTCATGTACAACTTATCTTATGAGCCCAATAGGCCTTGAACCTCTAAAACTAATTTTAGGCCCAATACAAGTCCTGAGCTTTGATTATTTAATTAATCTTTATTAACTAATTAATCTTTGCTCATCATCTCCTAATTAATTTTTCATTTGTCACCTTTATGGATGTGTGATCTGTTAAGTTCTAATCGGCAAGGCATTGGGTGATTTAGACTCTTCTTTAATTGATTGTGAATTAAAACCCTTTTAATTCTCCCTTTTATGAGGACAGTTATCCAGGCCAATGTCAAATAAGGTGGAAAACCAATTCAGTTGGAATTACAATGTAATATGATCATTTTCTAACTCAATGCTCTCTCTCACATCATTAGGGCATGAAAAACATGGCAAGCCCTTAATGTGAACTTCAAGCTTATATGACTCATACAAGTATGATTGGAATCACCATTTTGAATCATATCGTCAAAGCATTCTCCTTCTTTACTAAAGGTATAGATCTCTTGTTGTACACTTACCTGCCTCCATGGATTAATCATGAACCTCAATCATACAATATGGTTATGCCTTTGAAGAGCACAACGTTTTAGCATATCAAAGGTCCACAACACTTCCACAAGACAACTCTGGTGACTCAGGTCGAGGACTAATTTAATTATTGTAACTATGGAGATCTTGTTTGACATGCAGGTAGAACTTCTATACAAGATCCCCAGTTGATTGCGCTCAATGAATTAACTCCCTAGTGAACACCTATACACTTAACTTAGTGTCTTTACACAAATGACTTGAGACTAGTCAGTCTCCCAATTAAGCAGATATAGTGTATACCGGTCTTAGTTGATTTTCATGCCTAGTTGACAATCCTATGACCAGGAACTCTTCAGGGTGTGAGTTATAGAGAAA